CAGATTTTTTAATTTGGAACTTCCATATACTTTAACTTAAACTTTTAAACTTGGTGAAATAAAATCTGAAACCCAGCATTTACAAATTCGCATTTAGTTTTGTTAGGAACGCTTGAGATTTTGTAAAAATTTAACAAAACTAAAAGCAGCATTTACGTAATTACTTTGCGCAGTCTCTCCAGTTTACATTTGGCTTAAAAGTGTTTAAATTTAAATTGCAAACCTAATTTTATTTTCTACATATACATATGTACATACTCCACTAAAATGTTATATTATAAAAGCAAAAGTTTAGATAGATAAATGATTGTTACTGCATATCTATCAAACTGTTTAAATGATCTTTTTGAAATTTGACGTAGAAGATATTCTGGAAGAAAATACAAACTATTATGTTTCTCCTCGCGTCATATGCCTTTATGAGGATTTTGAGCTTATAAAATACGTATCTTATGGCTCTTATCCAGACAATAATACGTATAAGTTACGAAGGCTGAGGAAGCAGTGAGCTGGAATGTGAACAGGTGCCAACATTTTAATATTTTAACACAACGACGGAGGACTCGAGGAAATGCAGATAAAATATGTAACAGCACTTGCATTGAAAGAAATTGTAAGAAAAGCGCCTTAAAGAGATATACCTTATTCTTTCGACCTACGACAGTTGTAGATTGAATTTTAATATTAGCCTTAGTTATAGTCCCACGGACGCTTTAAAAACGCGCATTAAAAATACGTTGAAATAAAACAAATGTATTATCATGTATATTTTTATACGGCATCACTTGCAATACGCGACACTAATTATAGCGCAGTGTTGCATTTAAACACTGTGCCAAAAAAATAAGGGTTAGAGCGTTTGTATAATCAGAGCGTAAAAAAACAACCGAGCGTCAGAATAGTGCCCCTGCGAATCTGGCTTTACGCCGTACAAACTCTTATTAGAAGATTAAAAATCAATGGCACTGAATAGAAAACAATTGCTAGTTCTTGATAAAACTAGCAATTGTTTTATTTAAACAGAATTTTTGTAACTATAACAATGAAAACATATTTTCAGTGTTATTCCTTTGTTTACGACGATTATACTACCAATAGTATGTGTATATTCGTATGGGTTCCGCTTTTGGAAGTATAACAAGGAAATATCGAATGCTGAAATTGGAACATCGGCTTGCAGTATTCGTCAATTAAGACGATGTTGTGGCAGCTGAATAGAAATGTTGGCAACACATAGCTGATGTTCCACACATTTGATACTGTTTTATGACACACTAAGTTTTACTAAGATTAATTTAAGTAAATAATAAAGTTCTGATTTGAAGTAGCTATTTTTATTCATTAATTGCCACAAAGTTTTTCAAGAATCGGTTTTAAGTGAAATGTTTGTGGCATTGTGTGGCAAATGAATAAAATGGATCGATAAGTATTTAAAAGTTCATGTGACTACCTTTTTTTTATAAAAGCAAGTATGTTAAGGGACAAAATAGAAATATGAAATTTATTTTTAAGCTGCGGGTGAGTTAAATGCCAGGCGACACCGAACTTCGGCACTATTCACTGATTATATGGTGTGTGGTACAAACCATAGGCGATTAAGAATTTTAATTTTAATTAATTATATTTTGTCGCCTATTAGGGCATACATCTTCTTCACATTTTGCCGCAGATTCAACAAAATGTTGTCAGATTATATATTTCCACACACATCTTGAATTTATAAAGATATCAGCTGATTGTATCATAATTTATACTTCTGTGACAATAGTTCAACCTTTATAGCTTTGAATTATTTACAACTTTCGCCATCTAAACATTTATGTAAGTCCAGGTGAGCACATTTTCAATTGAAGTTTTCTTATAAGGTGAATTAAATACTTTTAATTTTTACTTAAGTATTTCAACCGCTACTCGCTTATGAATTAAAATGTAAATGGACAGTACACGTGCGTGTATGTTTATTATTTGCTGTCATCAGGAATGCGCCGTGTTTTAGTCCGCGGCTCGCGTCAAATGCGTTTCTTTTACATCACTCTGAAATATTTATATTTTATACTTGCATGTTAAAAGTACACGCCTCTACTGACGCCGGTGGGGCTGGCTTTATGTTCAATATACCCCGAATGATTTCTATATTTAAGACTAAATATTTTCAAACTCTTTAACTTACCTTATATAATAACATAGTTAGCAGTTAGGTATTAATATTTTCGTGGTTATGTCTGTTGTAATTGGGTAAATTTATAATCTATGATATAATTACGTTTTTGTTTTTTAATCTACATTCGTTCATTATAACTGTCATTCTGCCAAAGTGAAAAATATTGTGTTCATGTCCTCGAGGTAATTTTTATTTTGTCCCTATTTCTCAATAATTCTCAACAATGTCAATGTGTACAAGTTGAATAAATACGTAGAAGAAGAAGATTCAACGAAACGGGTTAAATTTTGAGAGTAGGTCAGATGTTTGGGATTCGATTCGTCTACAAATATACTATTTTAGTTATATATTAAAGAAAAATACGAATTGATCTATCAGTCTGTTAAATATACTTATTGGAATTAACTCTGGCGTGTACAGTCCCTTGAGGAGTTGGTGTCATTAAGTGAACACCTACATGTGCGGTCTCAAGTTACGGATAAGGAATTTTGGTGGAGGGTTGAAACATTACTTCAGTCGAAGTTCTCATACTAATACTGTTTTATCGATATTGAATATTACAATTTAAATTAATGGAACTGTCCTAAATCCATAAATTTTAAATAGATTAATAAGCGAAAACTACATCGATTTAGTCGTTTTAAAGTTGGTTCAATTTGCAATTTAATTTTTCAAGTGTTTCAGTTTGAAAATTCTTTCAACGACCCTTGTTCGGTGGAAATTTCGCAGTTTTCAACACGTCCAAGTGTTTATGTCTGTACTCTTGACTTTATGAGTGAAATAACTTTGAGCTGGAGCTGGAGTTTTTTTTTATTATTATTTTAAAAGCTCTAACGATTTAAAGCTTTTTAATTTTTCACCCGACTTTCGTTATTTTACAACTATTTAATAATACTTTTGCAATATAAAATTTGATCATAAATTTTATAATAGTATCAAACGCATTAATTAAAACCACATACATCTAAGGATCCATTCACACTAGTTATTGTGTTCCGATATGTGATACTGTTATCAAGGGTATCGTTTTCAAGATGTCATGTGCTTGCATCGAAATACGTAACAAATAGTTGGGGCTACCAGATGCGAGCGGCCATGTTGCTTTGATAGTCATCACTCAATATCGGATTACTTGGGAAAATCTATCATGTGAGAGAATCTATGATTAATTGTTTTTTAAATCTGTGACCACATGTTTATTACATGCGGCAGTACATAAAGTGTCACATACGACTGTTTAAATATGGAATAAATGTAAAGGTTAAGGGTGGGGACTACCGATCTTGAGGTTACGGGTTCGAATCCCGCCATTCGAAGATTGTCGTGAACCATATCCTAGCACAAGCGTCGAGCTTAGATGATTAAAGGAAATATTAGTAAATTAAAATAAAACCACTAATATTAATAAAAATAAAGATCTAAATGGGAAACGTAAACTATTTTTTTAAATTTATTAGTAGAACCAAAGGTCTGCTAGTGTGGGCATCAACAGATTTAACGTACCACAAATTACAAATATATTTCTTGACTATGACTTAGTGTGAAAAGTACAAATTGTAATTAGTTTTTAGCTAGTATAAATGCAATTGTAATAATTCAATCATAGACGCTTTCAATAAATAAAATAGTTCTTTTCTTATTTAAATCAGTTCGCGAACTACATAGGTAAATCTCAACTCTTTTGTTTCAAGATCATTAGAAGGCTACGTGAGCAATTAATTTCAAACAATAGAAATAAAAAATCGCAAGAAGAAAAGAAGCCCGCAGTTCCCACGGTCCTTTCTTAGCAACCGCATATAATTCCGATACTATTCCATCCCTAGTTGACATCTTTAACATCGCATAAAGCATTGTCATCTCTTTCTCATCTGACCTACCTTTGTACCTCCAGTATTACTTGAGACGTATGGTAGTTACACACAGAGACTGTACAGTAAGACAGAGCTTTTCTATTGTTTAATTGCAACCCTTACGATTAATAGGACACTGTTCTGCCAGCGTGTGCTGTTTTGTCTTACTCCTTTACTATTCTGTCACCGTGTGAAACTAGCATTATGTGTCATGTTCCTCCCCGTTTCATTGTCTGTCCGATTGCAATGAAACATTGACCCAGTTTTCACTGGAAGTAATCCTGTGTGACTGTAAATGTGAAACCACAGTGGAAATGACACTTACAATGGTACAATAGTAACAATGAATGACAAAGATATTACATTTTATTGTAAACGTAGTCAATCGTTTTTATTTAATCTGGCACGATTTTAATAGAAATATAAAATGTAAACTTCAATGTTTGAGCTACGTTTAGTTTTAACTGAAGAGTTGTACTGTCCAGATAACCCTGAGCATGTGTACCGTGTTTACACAAAGTTTTAACTGACTGAGTTCGAATCTAGTATGTTAGTTGGAACTGACCGTTTGCAAGGGGCTTTATTATTGCTTTGAAACTGTAGATGCGATATTTACACTTTGGAAATTTTAATATGAATAAAAATTCTCTTCTTTATGCTACTGTTGCATATTTGAGCGGTTTAGATACGTTTTAGAAATGAGGTAAATATTATGAAGACTGATAAAGCCGTGAGAAGCCGGAGCGTAGCCACGTGGGAATATATTTTCCATAAGCTTGTCAAGGAAATTTTATTCCAGCAAAGTCCTAAGGTAGCACTCATGATACTGAATTGAAAACCACCTCGTTTTATTAAATCTAGTTATTAAACACCAGTGGAGTAAAAGTTGCTACATTTAACAATATAGTTCCTAAATAAAAAGAAGGACATACATAAGTTAGTTCAGACATATTTAAAATAAACATTTTATAGTTTGTTAAAAACATTACCTATTCATATGCTGCGTGTCCTTAGGAGGGGGCATTGGAGTGGGGATCCTCCGGCCCCCCCGCATACCTCCGCCACTCATCTTAGAAATCCTCCTTGCGTTGGACCTGAAAAAAAAATACAGAATTCTTGAAAACACTCAAGAAGGATGAGGTACGGAATTAATTATATAACCAGTTTAAATAGTAGCCGGCTTTCCTTTTCCCCCTATCCCTTTTGAAGTTAACTTAAATAAAAGTTGCTTTTATTTATTTCAAGCCTTCAACACACATTGCTCTATTCTTGTTTAGTTTGTACTAGGAAGAGTATGCTCCATTTGATGATATTATATTTGAAACTAGATTAAATAACTACTGTTAATATTTAACATTCGACCTTTTTTTAGCTTTTAATTTCTTTAATATGAACTATTCCAATACACTTTATTCCCGTGAAACCAACTGAAGTTGTTAAATTAGTTTAAGCATCTTAATCGGGTCTAGAACGAGCTAAAAAGGAAAAAAAAATAGTGACATTAATAAGATAAAAGGAATAGAAAAGAGAAAATTAATAAAACAAATGAAGAAAACATCCTAAAAGAAATTCTCATATCACATCACACCGAGTTCAACAATCGATGCAAATACCGTATTCGTAATGAATGTGAAGAGGCATCATCATTTCCATTTTCCCTGATCTTTATTTCAGTTGGATAAGAGTGATTTTGCTTTGAAATTCGCCACTATTTGAGAAGATAAACTCGTCAAAGGGAGGTATCAATCCTATTGTAACAGCCCTCAAGTCTGCGGTGAGGAGTCTTTGTCTGAATAAATACGGAACCTCTTTTCTAAAATTCGAGAGAATGAGCGGTCATTGTTTTTTGGATCCTTGAAACAATTACTGCCCGATTAGGGGATTAGGTATTGTTATTTCTAATTGGACAAAAACTGAAAAATAAGAACAAGAATATCTTTTGCACACTAAGGATAATTACCAGTGTTGCCATTATCAGTGTTTGACATTTTAACGCCTTGACATTTTAACTAAGATTCCTGTATTTAAGAAGCCAAAGATTTCCCTTAAAAAAATTATTCATCTTAGTAAGAAACAATGAAATTAACTGTTATTTCTTAGTTTTAACAAGTAATATTAAAAAAAAGACAATAAAGTTTTCACATTTATAATATTAGTAGGATAATAAGAGTGAGAAAGACAATCAAATAAAAGTTGGGATCTCATTTTTTTCGAAGTCGCTAACTTTGATGAGAATTTAGAGAGCGAAGGCTACATCCTATTTATATTCATTAGCACCATACATTAACATAATATTGAAAGACGTTGTTCTGCCGGAGCGGATCTTTGCAAATTCAATTTCTTTATTGCGAACGAAAGAAAGTTGGGAATAATTCAACTTCGGTAGAAGAAAAGCAATTATAGAAGATCGTGATGACTGAGAATTGTTTTGGAAAAGAATGTTTTAATTTACACCATTTTATTTAACTTGTCAGCTAAGAATTTTGACGTATTCATCATCATTCTCCTTATCCTACTCCCGTAGGGTCAGCGCAACAGGTTTTTGTCCTCCAAATAACTCTATCATACGTCATCTCAGTCATCACTCCCTTTTTGATCATGTCACCTTTCACGCAATCAATCTCTTTCTAGGTGTACTTCTACCGGTGTACCTCTACACTCATAACTAACGTTCTCCTTGTAACATGCGATTCATCCCTCATAACACGCCTATACCATGCTAACCTTTTATTCCTTACGTCTACTACTGGGGCTACTCTCCAACTTCCTCTAATTTCTATTTCGTATCTAAGAATCTTGACATATCAGTATACAAAATCTATATTAAACTATTAAAAAAATGACAATGAGATCACATTTTTTTATAAGTGCTTTACTAAGAAACATGTCTAAAAAATTTAAGAGTTCGTTTTCGGATGGTTTTATCTAGAATTTAGATTTATATATTCCACATACATCAATGACAAGGAAATCTCCTAACAGTGATATATACGAACATAAAATACCGAAAACGAGATTCGAGATACACCAACGTTAACCGATCTACAGTGTCAATGATAAGAGTTACAAGCGAGATGAATACTAAACAGTCATCACTATTCTCATAGACTTATTACAAGGGAATAAGGTTGCTTTTACTTAACAGTAGTAGATTTGAGGCAAACGCTATGAAGCCTGTCAAAGGAAGGATGCTTGATAGCAGAAGCATTGTAACCTTTCGTAGCGAAACATCTTTGTCTGAGGCGCCAAGACTAAACGGAAAGTATTTCGTTTCGGTAAACAACAGCTCTTGTTTTAATCAGAACAACAATTGATGAAAACTTGCAATGTAACATCTACATTGAAGGTTCATTTCGGATGTTTATTTTTGAGTTTCATTCACAACTATTAATGAATGTTCTTTAAATGAAAATATAGATAGAAACATTTTGTAAATACTGATGGCATCAATGGTACTTAGAAGTATGAAGAAGAGTAACTTGAAAAAAAAACTCGCGTTCCGTTTCTTTGTTTTATTTTTGTCTGGTCCAGTGATGGATTTGAATTTAATCATCACAATTTGTGACGGTTTAGGAACACAAAAGCTTTGTAAAGTATAATAAAAACATAACACAGAATGCTTCCAGGCTTGTTGAATTGCAAACGGACTAAAAATTAAAGAAAACGTAAAAAGAAGAGATGAAATAATTCCCCTTTGTTAACATAAATATTGTGCTAATAAGAATGCTCACCGGTTTTTACTTAGATAATAATTTTTTAACCTAAATTTATTAAAAATATAATGTTTTAAATAAAATATTTTAAATACCAATGACATACTTTGGGAGATTATTAAAATAAACCATCGTACTCGAATTTAAATGACATATGAATTCTAAAGATATCATTTAAGACTTTATCAAAATAGGTGCTCCTGTCGCTGTTTCAGATTGAAAATTAAAAATGCGAAGTCAGCACGCCAGTTGGACTTGGATCCTACATTCAGTGGAGCGTAGAAAGACTCCAGATGTTATCTCCAACGGTATCAAGATGTGCCGTGTGTCACGACCTCTCTTATACTTTCTTTGCATCTTTCCAAGAAAGGATTATTCTATGAAAATTAGATAAGCTTGTACGCTAGTTGGACGTTGTGTTCTATATTTGGTTGTTCTTTTGTTTTTAATTAAAATCTTTTTTTTAACTGTTACGATCAACACAGTAATTTTATGAACTTAATGTGTGCGAAAGTTTAAAACAAATTCACATGTATTTAATATTCTAATATAAAAATTAACTAAAATGGGATCATTATAAGAAACGTATGAATCTTTATTTTATGTTAAAAAATGCATTTGAGTGTAAAATCTCACATGTGATTTTGTTTACGAAAAACATTTTGCATTAAACACATAATAATCTCTTAAGATATAAAAAAATTAAAAACAAACCTTAACACCAATGATTAGAGTTTATTTTTGAATGTCGAATGAAATGTTATAATCGTACAAATGATCTATTAAATCCGAAGTCTCTAGCGACTGTTATTGCAGTAGGCAGCGATGCGTCAAATCAAAGGCTTTGATTACCAGGTACTGAATATAGGTACCAGGATTTTGTGATGGTTAGTCTATCTACCCAACATTGACATACAGTCTCATGAGTTTCAGGAATTTATAAATTACCGTTCATAGCAAACGTTAAATAAAAAATGATAGAATTTTTTCTGCTCGCGGTTTTAAACTATAATTGTCGTCTAAATTAGTTAATAAGAATTTTAGTTGAATTCAATAATTATTTAAACCGAATATCGATAGTTCAAAACTGTTCGATATGCGTGTTTGTTTCGTCACTATGATACCTGTCTATTAAGTATGGCATTTGCCTTCATACAAATTGAATTAGGTACTTCATATGTGTCATTTATCAAACTAATCTATCTTATTTAGACAAACTATAAGTACCGAGAGCGGCAACATTGTGCGATTGTCGATTGTTTCGCAGCCAATTCAACTAAAAAAATCGAATAGTGTGCGCACCTTCATATAAGCTCAAAGGAATCAAAGCGCGACTGTTGTGCGATAATTTAGTGAAAGGTGTGTGCGCTAACATGTGGTGGGATAACTATACCATGAAATTCTCTAGAGTCAAGCTACTTAATAGTCAGCTCCGGGCTATCTTCCGTGTCTGTAAACGGTACTGTAATTTAGAGAGATTGAATATTATGATTCGTCACACTTTATCTTGAAGTTTGTACATATCGATAGATACATAGGTTGTACAGGTGTACAACTATTATAAGCGTGGAATTCCACTGCTAAACACCTTTAAAATTATTATACTGTTACTTAGCGTAATCATCTTTCTCCTTACCATTCTCCCGTAGGGTCAGCGCAACAGGTTTTTGTCCTCCACATAACTCTATCATACGTCATCTCAGTCATCACTCCCTTTTTGATCATGTCACCTTTTACACAATCCATTTCTTTTTAGATCTACCTCTACCGGTGTACCGTTCCACACTCATAACTAAAGTTCTCCTTGTAACATGCGATTCATCCCTCCTCATAACATGCCCATACCATGGTTATCTTTTACTCTTTACTTCTCTACTACTGGGGCTACTCTTAAAATATGACTTAGCATGAATAGGGATAAAAATAACTGTATTAAAATAAACCATATACTGTAATACTGTGTTTTTTTTTAACCAAGAGTTAATGACGCGTTAATCAGCAATTAACTCGATAAGGCGCGAAGTTTTACATAAACGAAGCATAATGAAGTGTTCGTATCTCGCGGTGCGTGCCGTCGCATTGACCTACCAGACTTTTCATACTTTCTTGATTTAATTGGACATTACCCTTTTTAAATAATGGACGAAGGGGACGGCCCTCTGAATGGAGATGCGCCCGGGGCCCAGAGTGTTTCCTATTTCGTAATTATATAAAAAAAATGTAACATTTAATTGAAATGAAAAAAATTTTTAGGTTATTTTTATTTATATTTCAATTATAATAACAAAGAAGAAACAATGTTGGTAAATAATAAGACTAATTCATTCGTTAATTATTTAATCTCAAAGATATACAAAACACATGAAGTTTTATAGCT